GCACTGCTATAGCATGCATCCCTCTTGGTCTTGGCTGCTGCTTATAGGTGGGCCTCCTGAAAAGGCTTCTTGACATGAAAGCAGGCCCCACCAAACAATGCCGACCAACCGGTCACCAGTTAACAAGGTTGGATTCTGTGACCTAAGAATTTTGTCCAGTAAAAGAAGTAGCTGCTACTCAGAGTGCAGGAAAAGAGAAAAGCCCCCAATCCAAACAGCAGAGCTGGTAGAACAAGAAACTTCAGACCAGGAAGACAGCAGCAAAACTCATAGCTAATTCTGGAATGGACTCCATATAAACAGTTCTCTATGGGGCTCCAGAGACACCCAAGAGCTAAGAGCTGAAATGTTACTGGATCCTAAGAACAAAACCCAAGCACAGTCAGCAAGGCATAGGAATGTGCTTCAAGACCAGTGCAGCAAGCATGCATGTCAGAACCAAAACTAAAGGGACCTCACCCACAAGGGAAGGAAAGACGCCAAGACTACCATCAATCTGTGGCTCTAGGAATGCTATGAAATGATCAACTGGCTGCATAGTAAAATTAGCGTTATAAATAAAAGCAAGATGACCAGAGTCAAGTGCTTGAAGACCCAATGAGAACTCAAGAGCACTGTCTAGGAGCAAATGGGGACAGCTTTGGGAAAATGGCTTTCTCACAGAAGCAGAAAAAGATGGGGCGGGGGGGGGGGGACACAAAACACAAAACAAAACAAAAAAACAAAGTTCTCTTCATTCAGGATCAACCAAGGGAGCCAGGCGGTGAATGGAAAATGCCTCCTGCCATAGCTCTCCTCTCCTCACCTAAATGTCCATGTGTTTCAGTTCCCACAGCTATGCACAAGCATCAGCATGGCAGGGTATGGGCATAATCCCCTGAACACAGCCAGAGTGAAGACCTTCCCAAACTGTCCCACGATATGTCATCCCCAAAAGTCTCAGTGCAGGCTGGTGGCTGTCAGCTAAGCTGACAAGTTTTTGTCTTTTTTTTTTTTTTTTTTTTTTTTTTTAAGAGACAATGTCTCTCTATGTAGCCCTTGTTGTCCTGGAACTCAAAGAGATCCACCTGCCCATGCTTCTGGAGTTCTGGGATCAAAGGCATGCACCACCATGTCCAGTGGCTGACAGTTGCTTAAGCACAGCTCTGTACACAGTGTGGTTTTATGAATATATTTTGTGAATTATAAGTCACATTTACTGATCAGAGATGCAGAAACAAAAGAGAGAAAAGCACCACAGCACACAGCATTTGGGGCAATTTTCCTTTCCATTTTTGTCCCAAGTACAGTTCATATGCACAGAGGTAAGGAACAATAATACTCCCTCTCTATGTAAACAGCATAGCTTCTACCAAGCTGTCTCCACTGTGAAGAACCTCCCTCAACTCCATGTATGTGACAACTGGTATCCAGCTGTGTCTCCTCTGGGAATTCCCCTCCTCCCTTTTTAGATGGCACAGCCATTCATATACCTAGCTGCATCTCTATTGTGAGGAACAACTCCCACCCACTATAAATGACACTTATGTATCCAGTGTTGTGTCTTCTGTGATGAGCAGCACTCTCTTTCCCTGTATAGATAGCACAGCTCTTTGTGGCCACTATGAGGAACCTTCTATGTGCAGGTGACATAGTTGTTACTTGTCTGTCTCTCCAATGTGAATAAACACCACCTCCCTTCGCATGTAGGGGTACAACTGTTCTGGGCTATTCCCCTAGTCAGGGGCTCCAGAAAACAGCAGACACCTGTGGAATGTAGCACTGCAGCTGAAGCACCCATCTTCTAAAGAGCTTGACTTTCCAACCACCTCAGTCAACTTGCTGCTTAAAACTAATGAGCCAGACGGTGGTGGCTCACGCCTTTAATCCCAGCACTCGGGAGGCAGAGGCAGGGGGATCTCTGTGAGCTCAAGGCCAGCCTGGTCTATAGAGCGAGTTCCGGGACAGGCTCCAAAGCTACAGAGAAACTGTCTCGGGGGAAAAAAATTAATGAAATCACATGACATGAAATCACAGGTGGTTTCTGCTTGGTGATGGTAGTAAAAATGTTCTCTGGCCCCAGAGTCTTAGCCCTATGGCTAGAAAGTGCTTGTCTACCTGAGGCTGGGATGCAGGACTCAGTCTACTTCCTAGTAATACAGGTACCAGCACAACTTGTTCAGTGACCTGGGGCACGTGTGTTGGATGAAGGGGATACTTCTGGCCCTAAACAGTTCCTCACCTTTTCACTGCTGGGTGTGGGGTCACAAGAAGGGCAAGATCTACTTTCCCTTAGTGTCCAAATCCCAGGCTTCTATGGAGTCCTGTCCTTCACTCCCCAACCTGTTAAGAGAAGACTGAATCCCTTCAGTTCCAACATGAGACTCTTAGTCTAAATCTGAGGATCACTAAGTGCTACCCCACACCCTGTTGCCAACAGCCACCACCATGGCATCCGGGGAAGCAGCACAGACAGAAAGGAGTCAAGGGCTCCAATCCCTACAGTAACAAAGGAAGATCAGCAGAGAGATATGAGGCGGCCCTGGCACAGGGAGCCTACCACGGGCATCCTCAAATGAGGTAACGGGACCTTCTTCCATCAGTCTCCCAAGTCATTCCATCCACTGAACTGCCTTTGGGACTATGCAGGCTCCTCTGACCCTCAACAGTGTCATGACATAGGGATCCTAAGGAAGTTACTGTTGAGACAAGCTCTACCTCTGGACTGGAGTCCTGATAATCCTGAGGCTGCAGAGCAGGGGACCACACACACTTCCAGACTGTGCCGACCCCAGCCTGGTTGTCACTGAAGGGATAAATGAATTTGTGTCTGCAAAGACAACTAGTAGAGTGAACTAGTCATCACTAGAGGTGATGGGATTAACCTGATCTCAAGGAGAAAACAGTTTACTGGTAAATGAGACCCAGCAAAACTATTCTAGAGGCGATCTAGACCTTGTAATCTGCCCAGAAACAAGTACTGCCCAAAGCCACACTCAGGTCATAAGAGAGACTACCATGGGGGTAACAAGTTTGCGTTGAGGTGTAAAGTGAGGCAGGATAATCTCTCAGTGACCTGGGAGTAAACTGGTGAGCCTGTACAAGTCAACCCTCTATATGTGGCCTAGAAGAGGTGGGGAAGGCCAGAGACTACAACTGCAGCTAACAAAGGCAAAACACTTAGGTCCAAAATGGCTGTTCTCATGCGTGTCTTGTGTGACCTTAAGGAGCGACTATGGACTTCCTGAAAGACCATTCCTCTCTTCACTCCCTCCCTCACTGCACAGGACATTCACAAGACACTCCCACTGTTGAGTCTTGGTTGCTCAGTTCTGGGTACTGGGAACTCATGGACACTGACAAGTTTGGAGGGGAAGAATCCCAGGCACACCAATCAGTCTCTAAAGTATGGGGAAAGTGAGACCAAAAGGGACAATGAAAGACATGGATTAAAAAATATCCCTACAAAACTAGAGACCTGAAAAAAGAAATCCCTACTTCAGATGAATTTTTTGTTTTTGTTTTTGTTTTTGTTTTTCAAGACAGGGTTTCTCTGGAGCTTTGGAACCTGTCCTGGAACTAGCTCTTATAAACCAGGCTGGCCTCGAACTCACAAAGATCCGCCTGTTTCTGCCTCCCGAGTGCTGGGATTAAAGGCGTGCACCACCACTCACTGCTCGGCTTCAGATGAGATCTTAAATAGACAGCAGGGCTAAGCTGTAACAGCACCGAACAGTACACAGGCAGACAGAGCACTAAAACCAAGACTGCAAAACCTAAGACCCAAAAGAGGCCCATGTGCTAGAGAAGAAATGGGGGGAAAGGCCAAATGGATGTGCAGGCTCTTTCTGGGCCTGGCAGCCGACACAGGTGTGGCAAAGTGGAAGATGAGATTACCTATCTGAAGCATGTGGTACTATGGCCGCAATGTAGGGGTTTTAGTGCAGTGTTTGGCTGTGTCATTATCACCACTAAAGCAGAAACCCCAACATCAGGCGCAAAATCCTGTACATCAGTACCAGACACAACACAATTACACCCCATAAAATCACCTAGCTTGGGATCCCTGACTTGGGCCCAGAACTCATCGCATATTCCCCAGAAGACCACTGAGCTCAGCACAAGGTATGATTGTGCTACATTTACAGGCGTCTGAGACAAACCCTTCCCAGGGCGACTCATAGTAGCCATCACTGTGGGACCCTCAGCTCTCTACAGACCCGGCAGACCCCAAAATTAGGGTATGAGCTTGGTGGGAACTCCCTTTAGAGACCTGCAATGACAAACACCCCTTTCCCAAAGCTTTGCCGGAGACTGGGGAAATCCCCAATTGTCAGTCAGGGCAGAAGTGACAAGAGCTACAGAGTGATCCCTGGGACCACAGCCCAGCAGACTGAGAAGTGGTTCCAGGAGTGCTCACCTAGATGGAGATCTCTGCATTCCTAGGGGCGAATAGGGTCTTTGAAAGTTCTGCTGGTGCCCTGAAGGCCTGACCAGCATTTCCAATTACTTGCGTTCCAGAGACACAGTGGCTACCCACTCATCCACCCACTCACTCACTGGCTGGCCATTTCTCTTGAAGCGTCTAGCTTCCTTCTCTACTAACATGAGTTCAGGTAGAAAGGATACTGTGCTCAGCAAATACTGTACATGATAACTCACAGTCAGGTAGCATTTTTAGTAGACTTATTACTTCTACCCAAGCAATAATCAGTCATCACCAAGAAGGGTTTGCCAGTTTACTCCCTGTCCCCTCCAAACAACCCTTAAGAGAACACCGAACAGAAAGAATCCCAAGTGTCCACCTTCTCGTCGCTGCCTCCCGAGGCCCCAAACTGCCCAACTCCCCAGTTAGTCCAGGACACAGCGGTAACTTGGCAACAAGTAAAAACTGCTGCAAAATCGGCTTGGGCGGCGTGATTTAAGTCCTCCCACACACCCCTCACTCCGGGTCCTCTCATTGGCAGGCGGCGTTCGGGTAGGTTTCCTTGGTCCCCGGTCCGACCTTCGCGCCCACCTACCTCCAGGGCCTCCAGGGTGCTGAAGCTGGCTATAGCAAAGCCGTCAATAACCTCCTCCTCCTGCGAGCTGGACTCGCGGCGACGGCGCCGCGGGGGGCGCGCTGCGCGCAGGGGCGTAGGGCGCTGAGACGGCGCGCCGCGGACTCCCGCGTTCTCCTTGCCAGGACTGGGCTCCGGCTCGTCGCCCGACGACGGGCTTTGCGCGCGGGCGTCGCGGGCGGCTTCCCGACGCCGGCCGCGGTCTCTCTGCGCGCGCGAACGCCGGCTCGGCCGGACCTTGGCCTCCATGGCGGCGCCGCGGCTGTGACCTTGGCGCCCCGCGCCGCCTGCTACGCCGCGCCGCCGGGCTGGGAAGGCGCCGCGCGGGCTCGGGGCCGGGGCGGGCTCGGGGCCGGGGCGGGCATGCCGGGCACGGACGCTCAGCGCCGGGCGCCGCGCGGGCTGCTACTCCGGGTCTGGGCCCGGCGCATCGGAGGGCGGCCGGCGCTCAGCAGCCCTACACCGGGCCCTCAGGGACGCAACCCATGGCGACCGGCGGGCAGCGGCGGCGGGCGGCCGAGGACGGCGGGTGGCGGAGCTCCTGATCACCGAGATCGTGAGGCTGAAACAGTAGTGGCAGCGGCCGGAGCGGATAACAACTGACGCACTTCCGCCAGGCCAGAGTGCCGGAGGAAGCGGGCGCAGCTGGGGAGGCTGACCCGCCGACTCCGCCCCACCCTGGCCCCGCCCTGGCTCCGCCCTTCCGGACTCGGCGACTCCGCGCTAAGCTGCCCAGCGTCCTTTCACATTAAGCCCCGCCCCTGAGAAGAATTTTCCCTTTGCTCCGCCCCTGCAATAGGCCACACCTATTTGTGCACTTCTCTTCAGAATCCCGCCCCTCCCAGTCAGGCCACGCCCCTTTCCTCTTGGCTCCACCTCTCTAGTCTGAGCTCTCTCCGTCCCGTAAGCCCCGCCCTTGCCTTTCAGTCCTGCTCACCTGTGGCAGGGCGGTGAGCCAGGTCCTGCTCAGATCCCGCCCTTCATGTCCGGCCTTGTTGACCACGCCCACTCGGCGACCAGCGCACACTTGCTAGAACTGGCCACCTGCGGCGAAGTTTGTGGCGGTCAGCGCCGCCTCTTCCGCCCTCTACGTGGGAGGTGATGGGTTTCTGTACCCTCAACAGGTTCCAGCAAACTGAGTGGAAGCACGTGAGCTTGTGGGCCCGACTGTTTTGGGGCCCACAGTGCTGGAATGTGTATGCCATCCTCCACCTGCAAGCCCTCAAATCCAGAGGTCCCACCCTGCTCTCCAAGCTAAATTAGGTGGTTCTCGGCTGAAAACCAAAGCCCTCTGGCCTCAAGCATGCTTCCCTTGGGGACCTGCCTCTTCCCGTTAGTCAAGGACCAGGGGACTGCAGCTCTTGGGAGACATGAAGAATGGGCGCTAGGAAGTTCGAAGTTAGACAAAATGGTGGTTTTCCTCCTTCAGCAGAAAACTACTTCCCCAAGTAGTGTCCTGGTGCAAATGGAGCAGGCCACTGATTCATATAGCTATTACCCCAAAACCTTGTTCTAAGGTACCTTGATAACTCGGAAGTGGGAACTGTTGACACGAAGAAACAGGTGATGTCACGGCTTGGCTTAGACACTGAGTGAGAAGTGACATAGCCATGTCTGCACCTGAGCATTGGAGGCCCTGACAGGCAGAAGACACATGGAGAAAGCCCTGTCATCTGGCTCCTGAGAAGGCCACAGGCTCTCTGCAACGCCGTCCCTTGGGGCCTCTGAGAAGACAGCCTACCATCCACAGGAGAGCTTCTTTCACTTCCAACCTGGGAGCACACCTACCAGCCTACCCCAGGGTGGGGGGGGAGGTGGTGTCTCCGGGTGGGTCTCCCTCCTGTCATTCCAGGGTTTATTGTGAAAATTCTCAACAGCTAGCTTCTAATCAGCTAAGAATCTAGTTGGAAAGACAGCAGAACCAAAGCAGCTCTCACTCCTGCCCCCTTCTTTCTCCTTTTAACACCTCTCCTGAGGCCATCCCACCTCCACATTGTATAGAGTTTCTCTCCCCTATGTCAACCCTTTTCTAGAACAACTGCTGAGACCCACTTTTTGAAGTTTTCATTAGAAATGAAAGGTTTCCTTGCTTCTTAGGTCTCCTACTTTCTCAAGTGCATTAATTCAGTGAAAGGCAGGGACTCCAGAGACCAGGTTAGGGATCTTTCATCCTGGGTTTCTTCCCAGTTTCTTTATCTCCTTTAATTTGTTTCCAACTTAGGGACCAGCCACAATCTCCCTCGGGGAATGGAGTTCTAGCTCAGTTGTTCCTCAGGGAAGGCTGGCTGTGGAAAGACATCTGCACTGATTTTTCTCCCACAGGACAAAGCTAGGAGGGACACAGGGATAAGATGGACTAGAATGGGCCCCGTTTGCCTCCACCTAGAGGACCAAGTCTCCACTCAGGTTTGGAAGGACTTGCAGATGCAATTCACCCTAGTTTCTTGGTGCAGTTCAAGCTGCTGCACTCTGGTTTTGACTAGCCTTCGTGCACACTCGTTTTTCTCTCAGACCTCTGTGGACTCTGGACTGGATTTCCCTCTGTGCTCTAGTGATGTGTTCAGACTCAGCTTGTCCAAACTTGAGCACATTAGTATCACAGTAGGGAGGGAGTTATCACACACACACACGCGCGCACACACACATACACACTTATTCACACTCACCACTCTCCTGATCCAGAGTGCCTGAGCTTTAGGCTTGAGAATGAAGCTTGAGAATTATTTGTGGGCTGTTGATCTAGGGACCACACTTTGGGAACCACCTTCCCCCATACCACCAGGACTGGTTGGCTGCTGAGCTTAGGAGCTTGCATATGCTAGGTAAACACTCTACCACAGATATACTCTAGCCTGGAGCTCTGGGTTTAAACAATGAGCACCAGCTAGTATTCCTATGTTAACCCAGAGATTTCTCCAGCTTCTCACCTCAGGTCCTGTCCCGCCATGCCTTCCCCTCTTTTTCACATCCCATGGAAGTAATGATCGTATCCTTCTGCTGGTGGAAGCCAACAGCACAAGGACTGTTCAAAAAACAGCTGTTTCCCAAGCCTATCCCAGGCCCTTGTCCATTTCCCCACAGCTCTGATCCTGACCTATTCTCCCAAGGTTGAGGCTGTCAGAAACTCCCCCTGTTAAAAGGGAACACAGATCACTTTGTGAGTTCCTAGACTTGTAGATGGAGGCATGTACAAATGCTCAGGAGAAAGCTTTCACTAGGATTTGAGCGGAAAAAACAAAGCAATAGGATAGGCGAGCTGTACATCTCAGAGGCAGCCAGAAAGAGGAAGCTGAAAAAGAAAATCGAGTAAGAAGGTGACTCAGTAGTGTAAGTACACAAGCAGCTACACTGGGTGAGGAGCTTCTTTTGGAGTGAGAATCTATACCCAGGGTAGCAGGACAAATGGGCTTAGATTTTTGACCACTACCTGAAAAAAGAGAGGGAGATGAAAAAGGGAAAAAGAAAACATTAGGTTTTGTAAGTTGAGAACTTCAAAAAGAAGGCAAGCTTAGTGGTGAAAATCTGTAACCAGCTAGATCCAGGAAGAGACTTCTGGTCTTAAAGGAGTGGTCTTCTTGTCAGGCCCATTTTGATACACTCTTAAAAGATTTGATTCTGAGGAGCTGAGCAATGACTCAGTGGTTAAGAGCACTGACTGCTTTTTCCAGAGGACTGGTGTTCAACTCTCACCCACGTGGCAGGTCACAGCTATCTGTGACTTTAGGGGATCCAGTACCCTCCTATAAACATACATGCAGGCAAAACACCAATGCACATAAAAGATAAAAAAAATCATTAAAAAAGGATTTGATTTTGAGACAGAAGCACACCAAGCCCCGGATTACCTCCACTATAGCCTAGGATAACTTTGAACTTCCTACCCCCCATCTCCACCTCCAGGAGTGCAAGGATTACTGGTATTCATTGTGAATTAACTAGAAAGAGAGGTCGCAATAATATAACATTGTGATCTTATAATCTTTTGGACAGTTTAGGATACTACATTTTCACCCAAAGTAAAAGATACAACTCAGATTTTATTCTTTTTAATAAAAATTCTTTAACAGGCACTCAGGAGCCAGAGGCAAGAGGATTTCTGTGAGTTCAAGACCAGCCTGCTCTACATAGTGAACTCCAGGATAGCTAGAACTACATAGAGAAACCCTGTGTCAAAATAAAATGATAAAAATAAATCAAGAAAGGAAGGAAGCAAAGAGAGAAAGAAGGAAGGAAGGAAGAAGAAGCCGGGAGCATACGTTTCATTCTAGCACTCAGGAGGCAGAGCCAGTCGGATCTCTGAGCTCGAGACCAGCCTGGTCTACAGAACGAGTTCCAGGACAGGCTCCAAAGCTACAGAGAAATAGTAAAACCAAAAAAGAAAAAAAATGTGACTGTAGACTGAAGAGAATAAAATCTGTAAAATCACCCTGTTTGGATGGGAGTAGCTTCCCTACGGCTTTCAACAAAGCTCTGCTACCTCCACTTGCCTCCCTTTCTTTTGGTTTTAAATCTGAAGGGGGGTGCAATTGGAAAAACAGTTCTCTCTCCTTTCAAATTCTTTTTTTTAATTTATTTTATTTTGATATTTATTGAGCTCTACATTTTTCTCTGCTCCTCTCCCTGCTTCTCCCCTCCCCACTTCAGTCCTCCCCCAAGATCCCCATGCTCCCAATTTACTCAGGAGATCTTGTCTTTTTCTTTTTCTCACTCCAAAAGCAGACGTCCAAGTGTGGTGGGGCAAGCCTTTAATCCCAGGCTGAGGCTGGTGGGTCTCTGTGAGTTCAAGATCAGCCCAGTCCACAGAGTTCCAGTACTGCCAGGGCTGCACAGAGAAAAACAAAAAACAAAACAAACAAAAACAAACAAACAAAAAGAAAGAAACAAAAAGAAAAGAAAGGAAGAAAGAAAGAAGAAAAGAAAAGAAGCAGGCTTCTAAACCATAAAAATACTAATCTGTGCAGATCCATGCAGGCTAGGGGTTTACCTCTGCGGAGGTCTCTAATGAGTTTAGAGAACAGCCCAAGCCCCAAGCTGCTGATGGCTGCTAAGCTGTGTGTGTCTCCTGGTATATTATTGCAATACCTGATTTGACTTAAGGTCCACTCCACAAAACAGAACCTATGTTTGACACTGCTTGAGTGACCGCTTCCTCCTGCAGCAGAGGAGAACAAATCAGACCCACAGGCAGACTTTATGCAGAGAGTTAGAGACCTTGGAACACTTAGCCCTAAATGGGGTGTTGCTATCAAATTCCTC